TTAACGGAACACAATGTGTGTCCGATTTTTACCTTTTTTGTTACCTAAGATAAAAAGATGAATAAAGGCATGACGTCCCGATTCATTTGATCATCATAAAGGGGAGAGCGGTCCACATGCTTATGAACCTTCAAAGATCATCTCAGACACTTCTCCCCTCCAACACAAATATTGACGGCTCTCTACTTTCTCCAACTCATCAAAACTACCAAATCAGCTTCAAATTGAACGATCAGCTACACTCACAAATTAACCATCATTTTCCGATGTGCCACTGCACCGACAAGTTCTCCTTAAAAGCATTCACATCAAATAGTCAAAAATGCTACATTCTGGAGGAGACAGAGGTCAGATACTCAAGTACTGAAGATGAATCCCGTGTGCGCCTAAAACTATTCAAAACATTCATACTAGAGGCGTCATCTTACTTTATTCAAGCTGATCAAGAGCAACTTATGAAAGACAAGGACTACATGCAAGATATTGAAAATCCTTTACCCCTTCGCATCAAAGAACAAATTTTCAAGATGACATCAAAGGGAAGATTGTAAGGATTTCTTCAGATAACGTTTCCAAGAAGACAAAGGAAACTGATATGCACTGAAGATCAAGACAAAAGAGGAGAAACTTAACTAATCTCATCTACCTTCTCCTCTACATTGCAGATTTAACACAAAAACAAAGACACATGTGCTGCAATGTTGATTGAATACAGTTTAACACATAGGGAGTGTTGGGTTAATGGCCCAACGTAGGGGCCGACCCATTTACCCCCCGTCCGGACGAACGTCTTCCCTGGCGGGGCAGCCCACTCGGACGAACGTCCGTACAAGGACAAGTGGATCCAGTCCACAGACAAACTCGAAGGGCGACAGACGTCGCTTCCGGAAGCAACTACCGTTGGAGCCAGTCCAACCATGTGACAAATCCTATAAGGGCCAGGATACGAGCGGCCCATTACCCTTTGCAATACCACCAGAAGCAAGCCCCCTTACCCAGACTGGACGTACGTCTCCACAACTTAGGCGGGAAACCCAGATTCTGGCGGGAAGCACATTTAATGCCAGAGATTTGGTGGTTGGGACATCAGCCACACACAGGCCTTGTTGGTCCCGTTTAAGTAGGGAACAGTCTAGAGGGGTGGGGGTGGGGGTGAATAGACTGTTCTGATATTTAAGATTTTTCTTCTAAGTCAAAACTGACTTATCAGAGATGGTCTGAGTCTGGTGACAGAGAGGGTCGAGTTCTGATAACAGAACTGGACTTGGCAGCGGATTAAAGTCCTGTCAGGATAGCCTCTGGGAAACACTAAGACAAATGCCTTTCTGCAAACTCTGAGAACAAGATATGCTGACCACAGATTCCAAGTTCTTGAGAGTTAGACAGTTAATATCCTAAGTGCAGAAGTTAAGTGCGTTAAAGTAAATAACACCGTGGATTTTTATAGTGGTTCAAGGAACAACGCGTTCCTCTAGTCCACTGTTCCACTAAGCTTGTAAAAATAGCAGTTTACAACGCCTTAGTCCCTAGAACTTAAGAAGCTCTCCACATCTTCTTCAAGCCTAGTTGTCTCCTAGGATGCACTTCCTTGCTTCCTCTAAGACTGGTCCTTTCACTGAGCTTCCCGGAAGTATACCCACTTCACTACTCCAGTTAATTGGACGTCCTTCTTTGCAGAAGATGTTTGAAAAACAGAGTTTTTCTCCAACTTGCTTCGTCACAATAGATTTGTTGATGAAGTACTTGAAGTATTGAAGAACTGGAGGAACTTTGCTCTTTGTTGGGGTTGAAGGATTTGAGTAAAGTGATCTTCCCAACTTAAGCTTTTTCTTGTAGATGAATATGGAGTTTGAATCTCAAGAGAGCTTTTTGAATATTGTAGAGAGCAAAAGTTTTTTTTGGTTGTTCTTCGTCGTGTATCTTTTATACTAGTGTTGTCTTCCCGTTGGAGGAGGAGACAACTGCATTGAATGCGCGTACTGTGGAGTTGACTAGTTAGACCCACAAATTTGGCAGGTTGCTATTTTTGTATAATATTCTCCAGGAATCTCGGTCAATCATCAGCAATTACTCCACAACGTATCAGGCTCATTAAATGAGCATTAAATGATTTCCTTTCGTGAAATATCTTCTAGCCGTTAGGGAATTTCCCGTTAGTTACACGGCCGTTGAAAGTAGCATCGAATTCTTCTAAGTGTTTGTCGAGATCATATAAGACCCTCTGATTGGCAGTTCTCAAGCCGGGTTCTGATGATAACTCTGGTAGCAATCTGAGGGCAGCTCTGGAAGGAACTCTGATGGCTTCTCTGAAGAGCAGCTCTGCTAGCAACTCTCATAGCCAATCACAAGAGCAACTCTGCTAGCAACTCTCATAGAGCAGTTCTCCTAGCAACTCTCATAGAGCAGTTCTCCTAGCAACTCTCATAGAGCAGTTCTCGTAGCAACTCTGATCAGAAGTACCAAGAGGGTCTCTGGCTTGTCGACTATGCTAATACTTACAAAGAAAAGTTCTAATACATTAAATCTAATGGGGGTACTCTAAAATTCTAATCTATATAGCATCATCAAAATCTAAATACAATTATTCCTTACAATTTCCCCCTTTTTGATGATGCCAAAACCCTTAAACTATTTCCAGAGAAGTGCCTTTCACCATAAGAGAAAATAAAAAAAACTTTCATTTAAAATCTTGGTGGGCAACTTAGCATAGGAGAATAGCAAGAGTACGATACAATCAATCATAGCAGTAACAGAAATAACAGATGAACAATCACAGAAAGCAATAAATAACAAAGTATTTGAAATTGCCATGCAAAATAGAGGCAAAGAGGTTATCTTATATATCAGGGAGTATTTAAAGATACAGGGGAGAGAAGAATTAATAGTCTTCTTCTACTACCTGTCTTTCAGCCTCTTCAGCCTTTTTGAGCTCAGCATTGACTCTTTCTCTGATGGTGGCCAAATTTCTTGGATTCTGGTACTCTGACCAGTGAGGCTCAAGCTTGCAATCCAGATAATTCTTCACAGCTTCTGAGACATCCTTGCCAGGGATCACTCTCATTCTCCACCAGTCTTCAGCTTCTTGGACTGAACCACCATGATTGATCATGATCAGTCCATCCTTATCCTGAGTAAGATTTTCTTGCTGCAGGGGAGTCATAAATTTCTTCATCTGGGCAAACTGAGCTGAGTCAGGCCTTGACATCCCACTGTTCAGCCACTGGGTAAGAGTGAAGGAGGATTCTTTCTTCTTGCCTTTCTTGGAACGAGGAGGAGATCTGTGGATTCCTGCAACCATTCTTTTCTGTCTGGCTCTCTCATAATACATTGCAGGATCAGCAGGGGTGATTGTCAGAGCTCTGGAGCTATGGCCTTCTGCAGCTCTGACCACTTCTCTTGTTTCTTCCCCCTTTTTGGCATCAACAAGATCACCAAGGAGGAGTCCGATCTTTTAAAACTCTGAAGCATGAGAGTCTTTGATCTTCTCAAGGGTCTCTGGGATTGTCTGAGTGACAGATGTGAGTCCTTCTATCAGCCCTTGTTGCTTTTCCACAGCTGATTGAATATCTTTTGTGCTGGCTTCCAAGAGAACCAACTTCTGATATTGCTCCTTGTCATTCAGGATCAGCTTCAAGGCATGCTCTTTGTTGGTTTTGCAGAGTCCTTCAATGTCCATGAGCTGCTCTTGAGCTTTGTCATGTGACCATTGGAGATTGTCAACAGAGTCAGATACCTCTTTTATGGCTTTTTCCTGAGCATTGAGGACTTGAGTGTGATGATAAAGTACAGCGTTGATGCTGTCTACCTCTTTGGAGATGCTATGGACTTTGTCAGAAGAGTCCTTCATGAAGGAGGTGAAGGATTCTGTAAGAGAGCCAACATGCTTCATCAGCAGTTTGAGGCCTGAAGTGAGATGGTCATGGACTTGAGTCAGATGCTCATCATTCTTCACGTTGGCTAGCAGTAGTTTTTCCATGTCATCCACTACCTGGTCACCAAACACCTCTCCCTCTGCCACAAATACATTGAAAGGAATTTGACCGTCTTCTCTGAGAGGCTCGGGCATTTGCAGTCCTCTGCCCTTAGGTATTTAAGGGATAAGAGATGGTGGTGGAGTAGGCGTCTTTCTCCGCTTGGATTGAAGATCAGCAGCCATGGAAGATGTGAGCAATCCATTATTATCATCAGATGAGGAGAGAATCCTCACAACTGGTTGCTTATTTGGGGTTGAGGCAACAGAATGCTGAGGGGAAGGGGGTTTGGAAGATGGTTTCTGCTGAGGGCGTGAGGCAGTTTTGGACATTTGGTGGGGGGAGTTCTGATGGGGTGTAGATTGCTGTTGAGTGGTTTTTTGGGGTTGAGGAGATGGAGGAGGTGAGGATGAGTGATATCTGGTTGGGGTTATCTGTTTGCAGGGAGATGCTGGTTTTGTGATACCTTGAAAATTTGAAATAAAAATAAATAAATAAATCAGATAAGTTATATCTGATAAATCAAATGAAAGTAAGATCAAAATATTTTTTTTTTTTATACTTGGTGTATAAAAATATACGCACACTACATGCAATGAAAATTAAACACTTATGTGGCATCGGAAAAAAAAAATAAAATAAAATAAATAAAAATAAAAATAAATCAGATAAAATATATCTGACAAGGTAAATAAAAATAAATATCAAAGTATTATAAGTGACATTTTGTAACATGTAATAATATACATATACACATAAAATGTAACTTGTGGATGACAATCATACACATAGGTGTTCACAATAATACAAATAGAGGTAATAATATATGCAATGAACTTGCGGACTAGACTTAGAATGCATTAGAACAACCAACATTTACACATGCATGTTCATAATACTATGTATAATAATATTGAATAATAATGAAGAAATAATTCAAACCAATCACTCCATGTATGATTCAGCCTAGAATGATCGATCTACAGCTATAAATACAGCTTCCTTCCCATTCTAAATCACCACAAAGTGAAGAAAACGAGTAGAGAATATATATATATACTTACTCGCCGGAAAAATACACATATATAAATTTACGTAAGAAATTGCCTATAAACAAGAGAGGAGGGTCGTGAGAGGTCTAGGAATATTTCCCAATAAATTCCAGACCGATTCGTAGTCACCGGAGCATCCTAGAGGTCGCCGGAGTTGCAAGCCAAGGAAATGGGTCTTCAGCAAGTGCGGAAATTTGGCCGTAGATAGGGGTGGCGGAGCTTCTCCTAGACGTCAGGATCATTTTGCAACTTGAATCGTTTAAATCCGTTACCTGTAAGTAAAGTTATCGCTCGCCGAAGTTTTCGGGATTCCGGTCGCCGGAATCGCGACCTGGAGAAGCTGGGAAGGAGACAACCCAGTCTTCTTGGGCCGGGTCGCGAATTTGGGCCGGTTCGGCCCATTTTCAATAAAAAATTAAAAATAAAATAGTAAATGAAATAAATAAAATCTGGAAAAATATAAATTAAATACCTGGTATAAAAATACATATTCGGACCAAGAATAATTGAAAAATAATATTTTTAGCTATTTTTAATTGATTTAATTGTAATTGGGCCAAGTTGTACACATTTAGTAAATAATTAACCAAATGACGAAAATAATTATGAAATAAATATGGGTGCAAGCTAGATTAAATATATGACTAAATAGGACATTTGGGACCATTTATAATTAATAAAAATTATAATTAGCATATTTAATTGTAATTAAACCGGTTAATAGATATATGAAATTAAGTGAATAAATAAAGGAAATAATTCTAAAATAAATATCTGGACAACCTAGGTCTAGTATAGACCCAAACTATAGTTATGGATGATTAGTAATTTATAAAAGTGATGATTAAGTTATTTAATTTAATTGAGCCATATAAACTAGTTAAGTAATTAAATAAGGAAATTTTGATATTAATGGTGAAATAAATAAATCACTAAGATTGAAAATAATGTTCTGGACTAAAAATGATGTTTGTAATAAAATAAGGAAAAGAAAATAAAGTTGGGTTATCTAGTATAAATGAATGACTATATTTGGACTTAATAAATAAATTATTGAATTAGTTGACTAATTAAATTAGCGTGATTAAATTAATAATTATTATCCTTGATTATTAGTGATTTGGACTCCATATAAATTATTAAACTATTTGAACTCATAAAAATTAGTTGATGAATATAAACAAATTAATTAAGTAATGTGTACTTAATAAGTTAGTTAATTGACTTCATTGGACTAGTTTAACTAAATCAATTAGTTTAATGGATAAATTAGTTAATTTATAGACTTGATAACATCTCTGGACTTTATATTAAAAATAGAAAATTAAAACGAGATTAGAATTTGATTATTGGACTTAATTGAATTAGATTAACGTATTTAGCTATATTGATATAATTAAACTTATTTATTTGATTTAGTTAGTTCAATTAAATTAGTGAGTCAAATAAATAAAACTGGAGGATTGGATAAATTAATTTAATTGGGTTAGTTAGTATAAATAAACGATTGAACTAATTAAAGTTGTTATTGAGATTAGATTATCATTAATGATTATTATTTCGAATTATTGCCTAAGTCAAGTTATTATTAAAAGGGTTATTAAATAAATTATATAAATTATGTAAACTGAATTTTGAACTGAAATTGATTATCTAAATTCGAAATAATGAAATTATTATGTAGTAATATAATTGGACTAGTTAACTATTTAACCAAACAAATTAAGAAAAACCGAGTTGGGTTATTATAATTAAAGAAAATAATAAGAATGAACTGGAAATAAACAGTTAGTAAGATTTATTAATTTAATATTTATATTTAAAGAAGGAATTATGAAGTTAAAGTAATTAAAGGTTGGATATAAAAGAAATAACGAAATAATAGAATAGTTATTGATTTAGAATTTTGATCAATATTAGAAGGAGAATTCAAGTGAAGATCAAGCTAGAGATTTTATTAAGGAGATTATCGCAATTTAAGGTAAGTTCTATGTCAACCAAAATGTTTTGCCTCGTACTTATATGTATGCAATATTTGCACTATGTGAATTATTTATGAATTGGAAATTATATGTTTGACATGGATCGAATATTTTGACTATATGAATATTGGTGGATTATTACCTTTTATGGATGATTAAATGTATATTCTTTTTATTAAAGAATATTGGTGGATTTATATATATTACAAAGGATATTTTGAGAAAATGTGACAATAATGATTTGGGGAAAACTTAAAGTTTTCATAATATATATTCTTACATCTCGAGAGAAACACGAGGCGTGGGTGGTTAGGGCTACTACTACTTTTGGTGAAATTTATTTGGGTCGGTAACCAGTCCGGCAATGACATACTCCGGTAGACATCCCGGGCTTTTACTTGAGGATCAAAGATCCTTTGGTGGTCGTAGTAGTAGTTACCTAATTTACCCTTGGACAATGTCCCTTGTGAGTAGGTGGTAGAAAACATCCTGCCTACTTGGGTTTCTTACTACTCGGAGGGCTTGGAATCCCTTTTAGAGGGTGTGCACACTTAAGGTAGAAATTCAGCTTCCAATTGGTGGTCGGTGGGAGCCGGAATTCCGGGATGAGTCGTAGATAACAACGACTCATTGGGCTCGAGGAATCTTGAGTTTCGCCCACTCTTAAAAGAATCTAAAGTATTACTTTTGGAGGAATTGAAGGATGATATTATCTATTGTGGAAATTATTTTATGACATTAAACCATTTTGGAAATATGAGAGACTACTTTTCAATATATATACATATACAAAAACCTATTTTCCAAATTATATTATTTTACGGGTTCGGGTGGAATCTTACTTAGCTCTAAAGCTAATTTTTGTCTCTTTTCTCTTTTTCTCTTTGCTCTATTGTACAGATGATTATGATTATGAAGATTGATGTACTTGCTGCCCGAGTGTTCCGCTAGTTGCACACGTTTGATTAATTATTGTTGTTTAAATTTGTAATCCATAAACTTTGTTTAAGTTTTATCTGATGACTACTTGAATTAATGGTGGATAGCCTGTGCACTCAATCATGTATAGGTTGAGTGTGGCGGTGACACACCTGTTTTTCCATCAAAGACTTCCGCTGTACTCTAAATATGTTTTATAATAAAGATGTTTTCATTTCAAAATGTTATTTTATTTTGGTGGGAAAAATGGGGGTGTTACAAGTTGGTATCAGAGCCTTAGGTTTTCCAAAGGGATTAGAACACGAGGTAATAGGTTGTATGGAGAAATTCTGTCACCAAGACGATAAGAGTCTAAGGCTGTTGGTTCTTAATTGAGCCTTTGCGCTCGTCCAACTACCTGGGAATTTCTCCTTGTGCTGAAACTTCGTCGTTCGAAATCGTTGAAGGAAACCTTTGAAATTGTACCTTCAAAAGGGAGATTTTCAAATATTTTTAAAATTAGGAAAGATAATATAGCTAGGAAATGGCCTTTTAGGAACGTGGTGAGGACCTTGTGAGTATTTATTTTCCTTACATGTATCATGTATGTGATAATTATGCTAATTGTGGGCCCATTTGAGAAATGGGAACCCCAAATGATAAAATGGGAATGCCTCATAGGGCAAAATTCCGAAGTGGCTAAGGTATGTACAAACATTATGTGTGAAAGTGCTTTTATGTGAAGTATGAATCCTCTGTATGATTGTTATGTACATTTTTATATGATCATGTTGCATAGCCTATGGAATCCTTAGTTGAACTAGGATCCTTAGGAGAAAAATATAGAAAATCTTACACGAATACTTTATGTCATTAAGATATCATGGCACCGAGAAGAGACCCTGATAACACGCCCACCAATGCTGAGTTGGCACAAAGCGTTCAACAACTGGCACAATTCATGCACACACTGGGTGCTACTGTGCTCCAGAACAATCAAAACCAGAACAACGGGAATGATGCCGCAAAACGAGTGGCATCTCGCAACCCTCCAAGCTTTCATGGGCAAGAAGATCCTCGTATCCTCGAAAATTGGCTCCGACTCTTTGACAAACTCTTCGACGCGGTGAGCTGTCCGGAAGAGCAAAGGGTTGACATTGCTGTTTACTATTTACAGCAAGAAGCGGATAACTGGTGGGTCTCATCAGGCCCAACTTTACGTCAACAACCTGACTTCAATTGGGAAGCTTTCAAGATTGCCATGAGGAAACGTTTTTATCCTGCACACGTTCAGGCCACCATGCGTGATGAATTCATACATTTGAAACAGATGGGCATGAGTGTCCAGGAATATCACAATAAATTCGTGGACCTCGCGCCATTTGCGAAAACAATAGTGCCTGATGAAAGCACCAAAGTTGAGAAATTTATCTACGGATTAAACTATGATACGCAGAAAATCGTCGCTGTTTTGGGTTGCCAAACTCTGACTGAAGCTTATGATAGAGCTGCAGTTCACTATCGAGTTCAGCAACTACAAAGAGAGAGGAACCAGAAGATGAAGAGGGACGAAGATGGAGGTCGAGGAGAAAAGAGGGTCAGAGTGCACCCACCTACACAGCAACAAGAAGGGAGGAGGAGGAGAGATGACCAAGGTGGAAGAAATTTCCACGGTCAAAACCAACAAAATGATCGAAGAGTTGCTCCCAGAGATAGACACTTCTACTGCAAGAGGTGCGGGAGAGATCATCCCGGTGTTAACTGCGATGGAAGCCTGACAAAATGTTTCAATTGTGGGAAGCTAGGGCACAGAACCTTCGAGTGTCTCTCAAAGACCAATGGGGCACCAGTGAACCAGGTGCAATACCGTGATGGAGGAAGACCAGATATGAATCAAGCTGGGCCAAATGGAGGACAAAATAACAACAACAATGCCGCCGCCGCCAACAACAACCGCAACCCTCGAGAAGGAGGGGAGAATAATCGTGGCAATGGCAATGGCGGGAACAATGGCAATGGCGGAAACAACGGCAACCGTCCGAACCAAGGGCGAATCATGGTGATGAATCAGGCCCAAGCCAATGCTAATGATGTGGTTTCAGGTACATTCCTTGTAAATTCTGAGCCTGCTTATGTTCTATTTGATTCTGGTGCTTCTCACAGTTTCATATCTTCTAGTTTCGTTAAGAAATTGAAGATTGAACCAACGGCTAGAATAGACTTGAATGTAAGAACCGCCTCAGATAAATTTGTAACTTGTGGAAATGTATACTCCAACATTTCCATACTCATATCTGAATCCAACCTACATGGAGATTTAATCCAATTTGACTTAAAAGATATAGACATAGTACTGGGCATGGATTGGTTGGGGAAATACAAAGCCAGGATCCTCTGTGATGAACAGAAGGTAATCTTGAAGGGTCCAAATGGGAAGCGAATATCTTACAAAGCAGTCACATCCAAGCATAGCATGAAGTTGATGACTATGCAACAATTAAAGCGACATATCCGAAAGGGGTATGAAACCTACCTGTGCTTTATGAAAGAGGTGAATATAGGGGAACCAAACATTGACCAAATTGTCGTAGTCAATGAATTTCCGGACGTATTTCCGGAAGAGATTCCAGGTATGCCGCCCGAGAGAGAAGTTGAATTCTCAATTGAGTTGATGCCCGGAACCGCGCCAATTTCAAAAGCACCTTACCGAATGGCACCGAAAGAAATGCAGGAGCTGAAGGAACAACTAGAGGAGTTGTTAGAGAAGGGGTACATAAGACCGAGTGTCTCACCTTGGGGCGCTCCGGTCTTATTTGTCAAAAAGAAAGATGGGAGTCTAAGGCTATGCATCGATTACCGAGAGTTGAATCAAGCAACTATCAAGAACAAGTATCCATTGCCCCGAATTGACGACTTGTTTGATCAATTGAAGGGGGCTAGCACGTTCTCTAAGATAGACTTGCGCTCTGGATATCATCAAGTGAGAATATCCGAAAAAGATGTACCAAAAACAGCATTCCGCACGAGGTATGGACACTACGAGTTCACTGTGATGCCGTTTGGTTTAACAAATGCACCGGCGGTATTCATGGACTTAATGAACCGTGTATTCCGACCTTATCTTGATACATTTGTGGTGGTATTCATCGATGATATTCTTGTGTATTCAAAAACCCCGGAGGATCACGAGAAACACTTGAGACTCACGTTACAAACTTTGAGAGAGAACCAGTTGTATGCCAAACTCTCAAAGTGTGACTTCTGGCAGGATCGGGTAGCGTTCTTGGGTCACATCATCACCCAGGAAGGCGTATCCGTAGATCCATCGAAGATTGAAGCGGTGGTTGAATGGCGTGCACCTACCTCGGTCACAGAGGTAAGAAGTTTCTTGGGTCTAGCGGGATACTATAGGAGATTTGTTAAAGATTTCTCCAAGATAGCAAGACCGCTAACCAATCTGACAAAGAAGACAACCAAGTTCCAATGGAATGAAGATTGTGAAGCAGCATTCCAAGAGTTGAAGAAAAGACTCACAACTGCACCGGTCTTGACACTACCGTCAGGGACGGAGGGATTTGATATTTATAGTGATGCATCCAAAAGGGGGTTGGGGTGTGTGCTAATGCAAAATAGGAAAGTGGTGGCTTATGCATCAAGACAACTAAAGGTGCATGAAGTCAATTATCCTACCCATGACCTGGAGTTAGCTGCAGTAGTGTTTGCTTTGAAAATCTGGAGACATTACCTATACGGAGCACATTGTAAGATATACACTGACCACAAAAGCTTGAAGTACATATTCACTCAAAAAGAGCTTAACATGAGGCAAAGAAGATGGCTCGAGCTTATCAATGATTACGATCTAGAAATCCAATACCACGAGGGAAAAGCTAACGTGGTGGCGGATGCTTTGAGCCGGAAATCTGAGCACTCATGCCGAGCAACATGGATATTACCAGAAGAACTATTCCGAGACTTTCAAAGATTGAGCTTGGAAGTAAAGCAATATGGCGAAGTAGATGGTGAAATACAGTTATGTACTATGACTGTTATACCATCTATCTTTGACGAAATCAAGAACGGACAACCGGGAGATGTAAAGCTCGAAAGAGTCAAGGAAGGAATGAAAGATGGCGTCAACGGACCATTTAAGATGCATGAAGATGGGAGCATCCGATACAAGGGAAGATGGTGTGTTCCACTGAAGTGTGCAGATATTAAAAAACAAATCATGGAGGAGGGACACAACACGCCCTACTCGGTACATCCCGGGGGAGACAAACTATACAAAGACCTCAAGAAGAACTTTTGGTGGCCGGGAATGAAGAAAGAAGTAGCTGAATTTGTATCCCGATGTTTGAACTGCCAAAAAGTCAAAGCGGAAAGATGCAAACCCAAGGGACTCGTGCAACCCTTGGAAGTACCAACATGGAAATGGGATTCAATCTCAATGGACTTTGTCGGGGGTTTACCTTTAACAAAGTCCGGGAAAGATAAAATTTGGGTGGTAGTGGATAGATTGACCAAAACTGCAAGGTTCATTCCTATGAATGAAACCTGGAGCATGGAGAAACTGGCAAAAGCCTATGTCAAACACGTGGTCAAACACCACGGAGTACCTCAAGACATCGTATCAGACCGAGATTCACGATTCTTATCCCAATTTTGGAAAGAATTACAAACGGCTATGGGAACAAAATTGAAGTTAAGTACTGCTTTCCATCCAACCACGGACGGACAGACCGAAAGAACAATCCAAACATTAGAAGACATGTTGAGGGCATGTGTTCTTGATTTGCAAGGATCATGGGATGAACACCTAGACTTGGTAGAGTTTTCGTACAATAACAGTTACCATGCTAGCATCGGAATGGCCCCATACGAAGCTCTATATGGTCAAAAGTGTAGGAGTCCCTTATGTTGGGGTGACATGGTCGATCAGGTGGTTCTAGGACCACAATACTTGCAAGATACTATTGAGAAAATCAAGGTCATCCAAGAAAGGATGAAGGCTGCCCAAGACCGACAGAAATCATATGCCGATCTTGGGAGAAAACCAGCTGAATTCGAACTAGGGGAGAAAGTTCTACTCAAAGTCTCTCCTACAAGAGGCGTAATGAGGTTCGGGAAGAAAGGGAAACTAAGTCCGAGATTCATCGGACCCTATGACATCCTAGAGAAGGTGGGAAAAGTGGCATATCGATTAGCTCTACCCACGGAGTTGGATAAGGTAACAACCGATTTGAAATCAAATACTTCTCTACGATTAAAATACATTCTTAACATACCGATATATGCTAGGTACATAACGTCTTTCACGTATCACAATTAAAGAAGTATGTTCGAGATGAGTCACATATCATCAATCCGGAGGTAAGAAATCCTAGACTTAACATGAGCCAAACGTAAATTGAAAAGAATATAAGTTAACCGTTATATTATTAGGTGATTGAAATGGATGAGACATTATCCTACGAAGAAAAACCCATAGAGATTCTCGATACTAAGACCCGAGAGACAAGGAAGAAGACAATTAAGATGGTAAAAGTACTTTGGTCAAACCATTTGACCGAGAATGCAACATGGGAGACAGAAGAGGATATGCGTAAACGGTATCCTGAACTTTTCAATTAAGGTAAATATTCGGTTACGAGGACGTAACCTTTCTTTTAGGGGGGCAGGTTGTCATATCTTATAAACCTATAATAATTCATCTTCATACTTAATTCGCGTCTTAGTTTATGCTTCGAGGACGAAGCATTCTTTAAGGAGGGTAGAATGTGATACCTTGAAAATTTGAAATAAAAATAAATAAATAAATCAGATAAGTTATATCTGATAAATCAAATGAAAGTAAGATCAAAATATTTTTTTTTTTTTATACTTGGTGTATAAAAATATACGCACACTACATGCAATGAAAATTAAACACTTATGTGGCATCGGAAAAAAAAAATAAAATAAAATAAATAAAAATAAAAATAAATCAGATAAAATATATCTGACAAGGTAAATAAAAATAAATATCAAAGTATTATAAGTGACATTTTGTAACATGTAATAATATACATATACACATAAAATGTAACTTGTGGATGACAATCATACACATAGGTGTTCACAATAATACAAATAGAGGTAATAATATATGCAATGAACTTGCGGACTAGACTTAGAATGCATTAGAACAACCAACATTTACACATGCATGTTCATAATACTATGTATAATAATATTGAATAATAATGAAGAAATAATTCAAACCAATCACTCCATGTATGATTCAGCCTAGAATGATCGATCTACAGCTATAAATACAGCTTCCTTCCCATTCTAAATCACCACAAAGTGAAGAAAACGAGTAGAGAATATATATATATACTTACTCGCCGGAAAAATACACATATATAAATTTACGTAAGAAATTGCCTATAAACAAGAGAGGAGGGTCGTGAGAGGTCTAGGAATATTTCCCAATAAATTCCAGACCGATTCGTAGTCACCGGAGCATCCTAGAGGTCGCCGGAGTTGCAAGCCAAGGAAATGGGTCTTCAGCAAGTGCGGAAATTTGGCCGTAGATAGGGGTGGCGGAGCTTCTCCTAGACGTCAGGATCATTTTGCAACTTGAATCGTTTAAATCCGTTACCTGTAAGTAAAGTTATCGCTCGCCGAAGTTTTCGGGATTCCGGTCGCCGGAATCGCGACCTGGAGAAGCTGGGAAGGAGACAACCCAGTCTTCTTGGGCCGGGTCGCGAATTTGGGCCGGTTCGGCCCATTTTCAATAAAAAATTAAAAATAAAATAGTAAATGAAATAAATAAAATCTGGAAAAATATAAATTAAATACCTGGTATAAAAATACATATTCGGACCAAGAATAATTGAAAAATAATATTTTTAGCTATTTTTAATTGATTTAATTGTAATTGGGCCAAGTTGTACACATTTAGTAAATAATTAACTAAATGACGAAAATAATTATGAAATAAATATGGGTGCAAGCTAGATTAAATATATGACTAAATAGGACATTTGGGACCATTTATAATTAATAAAAATTATAATTAGCATATTTAATTGTAATTAAACCGGTTAATAGATATATGAAATTAAGTGAATAAATAAAGGAAATAATTCTAAAATAAATATCTGGACAACCTAGGTCTAGTATAGACCCAAACTATAGTTATGGATGATTAGTAATTTATAAAAGTGATGATTAAGTTATTTAATTTAATTGAGCCATATAAACTAGTTAAGTAATTAAATAAGGAAATTTTGATATTAATGGTGAAATAAATAAATCACTAAGATTGAAAATAATGTTCTGGACTAAAAATGATGTTTGTAATAAAATAAGGAAAAGAAAATAAAGTTGGGTTATCTAGTATAAATGAATGACTATATTTGGACTTAATAAATAAATTATTGAATTAGTTGACTAATTAAATTAGCGTGATTAAATTAATAATTATTATCCTTGATTATTAGTGATTTGGACTCCATATAAATTATTAAACTATTTGAACTCATAAAAATTAGTTGATGAATATAAACAAATTAATTAAGTAATGTGTACTTAATAAGTTAGTTAATTGACTTCATTGGACTAGTTTAACTAAATCAATTAGTTTAATGGATAAATTAGTTAATTTATAGACTTGATAACATCTCTGGACTTTATATTAAAAATAGAAAATTAAAACGAGATTAGAATTTGATTATTGGACTTAATTGAATTAGATTAACGTATTTAGCTATATTGATATAATTAAACTTATTTATTTGATTTAGTTAGTTCAATTAAATTAGTGAGTCAAATAAATAAAACTGGAGGATTGGATAAATTAATTTAATTGGGTTAGTTAGTATAAATAAACGATTGAACTAATTAAAGTTGTTATTGAGATTAGATTATCATTAATGATTATTATTTCGAATTATTGCCTAAGTCAAGTTATTATTAAAAGGGTTATTAAATAAATTATATAAATTATGTAAACTGAATTTTGAACTGAAATTGATTATCTAAATTCGAAATAATGAAATTATTATGTAGTAATATAATTGGACTAGTTAACTATTTAACCAAACAAATTAAGAAAAACCGAGTTGGGTTATTATAATTAAAGAAAATAATAAGAATGAACTGGAAATAAACAGTTAGTAAGATTTATTAATTTAATATTTATATTTAAAGAAGGAATTATGAAGTTAAAGTAATTAAAGGTTGGATATAAAAGAAATAACGAAATAATAGAATAGTTATTGATTTAGAATTTTGATCAATATTAGAAGGAGAATTCAAGTGAAGATCAAGCTAGAGATTTTATTAAGGAGATTATCGCAATTTAAGGTAAGTTCTATGTCAACCAAAATGTTTTGCCTCGTACTTATATGTATGCAATATTTGCACTATGTGAATTATTTATGAATTGGAAATTATATGTTTGACATGGATCGAATATTTTGACTATATGAATATTGGTGGATTATTACCTTTTATGGATGATTAAATGTATATTCTTTTTATTAAAGAATATTGGTGGATTTATATATATTACAAAGGATATTTTGAGAAAATGTGACAATAATGATTTGGGGAAAACTTAAAGTTTTCATAATATATATTCTTACATCTCGAGAGAAACACGAGGCGTGGGTGGTTAGGGCTACTACTACTTTTGGTGAAATTTATTTGGGTCGGTAACCAGTCCGGCAATGACATACTCCGGTAGACATCCCGGGCTTTTACTTGAGGATCAAAGATCCTTTGGTGGTCGTAGTAGTAGTTACCTAATTTACCCTTGGACAATGTCCCTTGTGAGTAGGTGGTAGAAAACATCCTGCCTACTTGGGTTTCTTACTACTCGGAGGGCTTGGAATCCCTTTTAGAGGGTGTGCACACTTAAGGTAGAAATTCAGCTTCCAATTGGTGGTCGGTGGGAGCCGGAATTCCGGGATGAGTCGTAGATAACAACGACTCATTGGGCTCGAGGAATCTTGAGTTTCGCCCACTCTTAAAAGAATCTAAAGTATTACTTTTGGAGGAATTGAAGGATGATATTATCTATTGTGGAAATTATTTTATGACATTAAACCATTTTGGAAATATGAGAGACTACTTTTCAATATATATACATATACAAAAACCTATTTTCCAAATTATATTATTTTACGGGTTCGGGTGGAATCTTACTTAGCTCTAAAGCTAATTTTTGTCTCTTTTCTCTTTTTCTCTTTGCTCTATTGTACAGATGATTATGATTATGAAGATTGATGTACTTGCTGCCCGAGTGTTCCGCTAGTTGCACACGTTTGATTAATTATTGTTGTTTAAATTTGTAATCCATAAACTTTGTTTAAGTTTTATCTGATGACTACTTGAATTAATGGTGGATAGCCTGTGCACTCAATCATGTATAGGTTGAGTGTGGCGGTGACACACCTGTTTTTCCATCAAAGACTTCCGCTGTACTCTAAATATGTTTTATAATAAAGATGTTTTCATTTCAAAATGTTATTTTATTTTGGTGGGAAAAATGGGGGTGTTACAGGTTTGGATGGGGCTTTTTGAGGAGATGGGGTTTTCTGAGGGAGGGGAGTTTGAGGAGGTGTAGAGAAGGGGGTGGTTGGTTTGGGTGAGGATGCATTGTGTACAATGGGTGATTTAGGAGGGGATGGAGGGAGTTGTGTAGAAAGAATATGAGTGGGAGAGTTGGGGATTACCTCCAAAACAGTTTCCTCAAACTGAGGGTCTCTCCATTCCCTGATCAGTTTCTCCATTGCCAGAGGAAGGTCATTGGCAGTGGAGGGTTCTCCTTCTGCACCCTGAATGGGTTTGAATTTGATCAGAGATTCCTTGCTCTTCTTTTCCATTAACCATGCGTCAAAAATGGGAATCTCATGCTCTTCTAAGGCTTTGACATGCTTCTCTGGTGAGGTGGAGAGCAGAGGTGCTTTTCCCTTAAGGTTTGCCTTCTTTTGGATCAGGACAGCCTCAAGGAAATTGAGATCAAAGCATTTGGACACATCTTCTGTGCCCACCCATTTGAGGACCTCAACTTCCTCTGTCTCATAGTGATCAAATTCCTCAATAATCTGTCGAAGAGGCCCCATTCTCCATCTTCTCCAAGTAAGAACTCTTTCATACTGCTTGTCCAGGGCAGTGTTGAAGTCGATTTTAGGCATCTTCTCTGGAGTGGATTGAATCTCTGGTGCTGGCTCAGGTTCTGGTTCAGGTTCCCCCTGAGCAGCTGATTCCTTAGCAGGAGTGCTAATTTTCTTCTTCTTCCTTTTCTGTACCAGAGATTCAGAGCTCTCAGGATCACTCTGAATCACCATTTTCCTTCTTTTCCTCAGCTTCTTTTGCTTCACAGGAGATCTGCTGGCAGATTTAGAAGAGGCGGTGTCTGGTGCAGCCTCCTCTGATGCATTCTCCTCTGATATGACTTCAGGTTGCTTTTATGATTTCTTTTTTTTTTGTTTTCTCAGCCTTCTGTACCATTTGCTGATCAGAAGCCACTTCAGGCTTCTTGATGGCCTTCTTGGGGGCAGCTTTGGGCTTAGCAGCCAATTTTTCTCTGTTCTGCTCCAGCTTCTCTTCCCTTTTTAGTACAGCAGATGGCCACATTCCTCTTGGGAGATGCAATGAGAAAGATGGTCTTGGTGTGGTCAACTGTTGAGGGGTTTCTGAGCTCCACTTGAGATTTGGAGATGACCCTTGAGATGAGAAGACCATGACCCATCTTGGTTGAGAACAAGCCTGTCTTCTTGTCCTTCTTCTTAACAGATTCAGAGATTGATTTGAAAAGTACCTTTCCCCAGTTTATGTTCATGCCATGATGAACAGCATAGATGGCCTTGGCGTTGGCGTTGTTCATCTGGTCAGTAGAACCGGTTTTGCACCACAAGCACCTGTGCATGATGCTGACCAGCTTCTCATAGTCCCTCTTCAGCATGGACTTCTTCATGTATAGCTTGTCTACTCCGGTTGCATCAGGCCGGCAGTAGGTATCAACAAATGCTTGGACGGAGACATCCACAGAGTCGAGGTCGATGAGGGTGGGGGTATCCTCATCCTGAGAGTCCAGTTGAACCCCAAAGAATTCATTTAGGGCATCAGCGTCAAGCTTCAAGTCCTTGACCTGAACTTGTGAGTAAATAGCTTCACCGGTGATGGTAGCATTCAGATAGAACTCGGCTACATCCATAGTACTGAACTTCTCATATGGATGAGCAACAATCTTGCTCAACTGGGAATCATGCATCCCTTGGATGATTTTCTGCATCCGCTTCCTGTTCTCTGCCAACAGCGGTAGTGCAGACATATCAACCTTCATACCTGTGACAATGTTGTCAACCAGCATCTTGGCTTCTACCTGGGTGAGGTCGGTGATATTGATGAACTTCATTTTTAGAGAATAAGGGTTTTTGAGAATTTCTGGAGATTGGAAGTTCGAAGGTAGAAAGCTTGAGAACGAAGAGTAGTAGAGAGATAAAGTTGTAGTAGCGGTTTAGGTTTGAGGTCGTGGGTATAAATTGATTTGGGTTAGTGGACGTTTGAGATTATTGGGGGTTTTCGAGGTAGCATTTAATAGAATGTGGGCGGAAAGACGTTTCCGTTTAAGGGAATAACTATCGGGGGTAAAATGGTAAAAGACATGTTCAAGTACTTAGGTCTTGCCCGATCCTCGAAAAATTGTAAAGTCCACAGGACCTCTGATGGAAACAACTGTATCAGAGAGAGTGGTGTTCTGATGGGTGGTTCTCTGATCTTGAGCAACTCTGATTTATGCATCTCTGGGAAGATCATCCATCATTCCCAGCTCTTCTCTCAGCTTGTTGAACCTTGCCTCAGAGAGAGGTTTGGTTAGGATATCTGCTAGCTGGTCCTCTGTTGGAACATGCTCCATGAGAATATGCTTCTTCTCCACATGATCTCTGATGAAGTGATGTCTGACCTCAATGTGCTTTGTCCTTGAGTGTAACACAGGATTCTGAGTGATGGCAATGGCACTTGTGTTGTCACAGAGGAGCTTGATCTCCTTTGCTTGAACACCATAATCCTTGAGTTGTTGCTTCATCCAGAGCAGTTGAGCACAACAACTTCCAGCAGCAATATATTCAGCTTCAGCAGTGTTTGTTGAGATAGAGTTCTGCTTCTTGCTAAACCAGGAGACAAGTCTCCCACCTAGCAATTGGCAGTGACCAGAGGTGCTCTTCCTGTCTAATCTGCAACCTGCAAAATCTGAGTCAGAATAACCAATTAGTTCAAAGTTACCTCCCTTGGGATACCATAGGCCTGCATTTGGATTTCCTTTGATGTATCTGATAATCTTCTTTGCAGCACACAGATGGCTCTCCTTGGGCTTTGATTGGTATCTGGCACAGATTCCCACAACAAATGCTATGTCTGGTCTGCTTGCAGTTAGATAGAGAAGAGATCCAATGATTCCTCTATATTGAGTTGCATCAACATCCTTTCCTTCATCATCAGGTCCAATGCCTTGGGAGGCATTCATGGGTATCTTGACAGAAGACTTTCCATCAAGTCCAAATTTCTTGATAAAGATTCCTTCTGGAACTTGTTTGACTTGCAATCCAAGAAAATAGCTTAGTTCTCCCATCATGCTCATCTCAAACTTTCTCTGCATTACTTGAGAAAATTTCTTGCATAGTTCTTGGTTAGTACTTCCAAATATAATATCATCAACATATATTTGTACTAATAGAATATGATTAGCAACAGAAATTTTAAATAAGGTCTTGTCAACCTTTCCTTTAGTAAACCCATGGTTTACCAAGAATAGGGACAATGTGTCATACCAAGCTCTAGGTGCTTGCTTAAGACCATAAAGGGCCTTCATAAGCTTGTAGACACAAGAGGATTGAGTAGGAATGACAAAACCTGGTGTTTGTTCCACATAGACTTCCTCTTCAAGTTCTCCATTCAGAAATGCACTCTTGACATCCATCTGGTAGACCTTGATGTTGTTGTAAGCAGCATAAGCTAGAAAGATTCTGATGGCTTCTAATCTGGCAACTGGTGCAAAGGTTTCATCAAAATCTATGTCTTCCTCTTGACAGTAACCCTTTGCTACTAGCCTTGCTTTATTCCTTACAATGTTGCCTTCTTCATCTGCTTTGTTCTTGAATACCCATTTGGTTCCAATGACATTCTGGTGCTTTGGTCTAGGAACAAGTTCCCACACTTGGTTCCTTTCGAACTGGGTAAGTTCTTCTTGCATTGCATTGATCCAATCAGTGTCTTCAAGAGCTTCTTCTACACTCATTGGTTCCATTTGAGATATGCAGCAGGTGAACATGGCTTCTCTTCTGGATAGAGATGACCTGGTTTGAACTCCGGTAGAGACTTGACCAATTACTTGATTAGGAGGATGATCTCTTAACCAAGTTAGATCAGGTTCTGTCAGTTGTTGTCTGGGTTTCTCTGGTTGTTCATCTTCTGAGTCTTCATCTTCATCCTTGTCTATCAGAAGGGGGTTACCAGAAAGGGTCGGAAACACTGGGTTGACCTCTTCTGTAGGTTCAGAAGGTTTGTCTTCTAAATTGGTTTTCTTCAGGGTTTCTGTTACTTCTTCAACAGAGGTGCTGTCATCAAACTTTACATGTATGGATTCTTCAACATGCAGAGTTCTTCTGTTGAGTACTCTATAGGCTTTGCTTGTGCTTGAGTAGCCTATGAATACACCTTCATCAGCCTTTTCTTGAAAGACCTTCAGATGCTCCTTTCCATTGTTGAGAATGTAGCATTTGCATCCAAATATGTGAAAATAGCTGATGTTGGGTTTTCTCCCTTTCCACAGTTCATAGGGGGTCTTCTGATAGTTTTTGTGGATCATGCTTCTGTTCTGGGTGTAGTATGCAGTATTGGTTGCTTCAACCCAGTATCTCATTGGTAGTCCTGATTCAGCAATCATGGTCCTTGCAGCTTCCTTCAGAGTTCTGTTCCTTCTTTTAGCAACTCCATTCTGTTGAGGTGTTCTGGCAGCAGATTGTTGATGAAAGGTTCCATTTTGATCACAGAAGTCCTTGATCACTTGGTTGACAAATTCAGTTCCTCTGTCAGATCTGATTGTTCTGACCTTCATATTCTTCTCAGTCTGAAGTTGCTTTAACAGAGATGGCAACTTCTGAAGAGTTTCATTCTTTTTGGTTAAGAACACTGTCCATATGTATCTAGTGTAATCATCAACCATAACCAGTGTATATCTCTTTCCACCAACACTGGGAGTTTCAACTGGTCCAAATAAATCCATGTGAATCAGATTTAAAGGACTAGTGGAAAGATCTCCAGCAATGGGCTTGAATGTTGTCTTCACTTGCTTGCCCTTCTGACAAGCACTGCAGAGAGTCTCCTTCTTGTACACCATGTCTGGCAGACCATCTACAATGTGATCTCTTGCCAGTTTGTTGATTGTTTTGAAATTCAGATGACTAAGCTTCTTGTGCCAATCCCAGCTTAGCTTTGAATCTCCTTTGGCTATCAGGCATAC